AGATATTTGTATTTATCTGTTATCTCTAGCGTGACCTCCTGTATTCTAAGCTCACTACCTTTGTTGTCATTGAAAATCATGACTGCTGATTTTTCCTTACTGAATCTAAAATCTAACCTATCTTCCGCATTACTGCAGATGTCCATCAATCTCTGCAAATCTTCCTTGTTGTTGGCCATTAGAACTATATCATCTGCGTACATTAATGCTGGTAGTGCCTGATCAATAAGTTTTCCTTGTTTGACTAAAGAGAGGTTGAAGCCCAGTCCACTTCCCTCTAATTTTGCCTCTAATCTTTGTAGGTACATCATGAATAATAAGGGTGACAGGGGGTACCCCTGCCTAAGCCCCCGTTTTACCCCCTGCAGGCTTGGATACCTGTTTTTTCCACTTTATAACTACCTTGTTACCTTTATAGATACCCTTTAAAAGATTAGTGACTACATGTTCCACGCCTAGTGTGTCCAGTATTCCCCACAATTCCTCTTGAACCACGCTATTGTACGCTCCCTTGATATCCAAAAATGCTAGCCACAGGGGCCTGTGTTCCTTTTCTGCTATTTCGATGCACTGCGTCAGTGAGAACAGATTGTCTTCCAACCTCCTGTGTTTCCGAAACCCATTCTGCAGTTCCCCCAGCACCCCCTCATCCTCTATCCACGCCTGCAGTCTTTCCTTTATAATCTACATCGCCAGTCTGTAGACCACTGATGTCACTGTTATATGACGGTAGTTGTTTATGTCAGCTTTGTCCCTTTTCCTTTATAGATCATGCTCATCCTGCTTAGTTTCCATCCATCGGGAACTTCACCATCGATTATTATTGTGCTCACTGCCTCTCTCAAAGCCTGCTTAGACTTCGGACCTAATGTCTTTATCAGCCTAATTGGAATGCCATCTGGGCCTGTTGATGTAATACTAGGAACCCTTTTTTCAGCCCTTTCCGCTCTTGTTGTGAAAATGGATCCATTGCACCACTTGATTCGTCATTGTCTATTGTGGTGCATAAAGTACTTCTTTGTTGAAATTTTTCTGTCACCCTTGTTCTTATATATTGAATAGCTTCGTCCCCTTCTAGCCTAGCACCTTGGGCTGTAGTTATAAAACTCTGTTCTAGGCTTGTCTCATTTCTTAGGGAGTTTAGATGGTTCCAAAATTTCGCAGCTGCCTTTCTATCTTTTTTATGTACTTCTGCCAGCCACTGAGCTCCCTTCTTTCTAATCTTTTCATTGATCGGAAGCGATGCATCCCTTCTACAGCTAAGAAAGGTTGCCCATTTTCTTTCAACATCATCTGTCGGTTCACCCCGCTGCTTAGCATGTCTGTGTTCCCCAGAGGCTTCCTGACATTTTGCTATGGCTCTCTTAACTTCCTCATCCCACCAACTTTTGGGTTTGTGTCTTCTTTTCCGGGGTGACTTGTCACGCGTCTTAGCAAGTTCCAGCTCAAAAAGTCTAATTAGATTCGTGTATGTCCACGCTGTCTTATTATCCTCCGTGATTACTTTCTCAATTTGTTTAGTAGCTATTTCGATTTGCCTTTCTGGATAAAAAATTTTCTGTAGTTGCTCATTTTGTTCCTTTCCACTTTCACTGCTCTTCCAAAACTTAGCTTGATACGTTTGTGATCACTACCCAGACTTCTAGAGCCACTTTCATCTATGTGCATTCCTCTGAGCTTATCATACATCCTATGTGACATCAGTGCATAATCTATCGCCGACTGCAGCCTTCCTACCTCCCAGGTTATTTCACACTTCTCGGTACCTTCACACTTCTCGGTACTGTTGCAAATGATCAAATCAAGCCTTTCACACATATCCATGATCATTTTGCCTGTCGAGTCGGTATACCCATCTATATCTTCTAAGTGCGCATTCATGTCTCCTAGTATAATTATCTCGCACTCTCTTCCTATTTCCTGAATGTCCTTTGATATACACTCTACCATTGCCTGGTTTTCCTCTCTGACCTTTGCTCCCGTCCACAAGTACACGAAACCAAGGAGTGTCATTTGACCTGCCACTTTCCCTTTTAGCCATAAATGTTCCTTGCACTCCTGCTTGACCCTTTGCCAGTCTGTACTTTTATGAATGAATGCCCCAATACCACCCCCCTTTCTTCTGCCTTCTGTTCTATTACAATATTCCCACGCGTAGTCCGGATTGTTTGGAGGTTGTTCCATGTCCCTGAGATGTGTTTCTACAAAACCGTATACCATCGGCCTCTCCTCCCTTAGCTGTTCTTCTATCTCTTCCCACTTCAGCCTGTTCCTACCACCCTGCATGTTAATATACCCTATGTCTGAATTGGCTCGGCGCTCGTGGCTACGTCTATTTATGCCCCGGACTCTACCTATCTTAGATATTGGTGCCACTTTGGAATCGTATCTGTCCATACCACCTGTCGAAGAGTCTCCCTGGTTGTTTTCCTCGTTACTAGCTATCCTGCACCCCGAAGGGCTCGCTTGCCCCCCAAAAAAGCTACTGCGCGTCCTGCAAGTCGCCAACCCACCTCATGACCTAGCCGCCCATCGAAGTGAATTCTGTCTCGTTGAAAACCCCCCCACCTATGCACCTCTCTGTTTATTTCCACCACCTCAAAGCCTTTCTCTCGACTCATCCGCCATATCTCTTGGTTTGCGTTGACCACCGCTCTTTGCAGGTTGTTATTACGCACCGGTACCTCCGGTATCGTGCATATCACTACCTGTACCTTAGGAGAAGTGGCGCGCATGTCATCGACGCCTTTCGCCAGTGTGGCTGCTAGTCCTGCTGCATCTTCATTTAGGACATCGTTTAAACCGCCTGAAATTATCACGAGGTTTCGTCTATCAGCTGTCGTTTTTAGCTTTGCGCTCGCTTGCCTCATGACTGCTTCCAGCTTGCGTCCTCGGAACGCCCCTACTGCAACCCTCTTGTCACCTCTTACCCTCTCTTTGATGGCTTCTGTGCATCGATTTAAATTCGAGTCCCCGGCGATTATCACATGCTGTGACTTTTCAGCTGGAGCGTTCTGCACCTGGGGGCTACTTGCACCTGTGACGCCAGCTGCTTTGTTCCCTCCCTGCCCCACCACTACCTCGCTGAAGCTGGCCCTTGTGACAGTTGAACCGGCTAAACCTGTTTTTTCCAAACTTGCTTGCTTTTCCTTCTCCACCGTTCTGGTTGCCGGTTTCCTACTGTTCTCTCGGTAGGTCGCTTCTTTGTTCAGCTTCGCTAGCGCTTCCCCGGCGGACTTCAGTCTTTCTCCCATTGCCCTCGTTTTCTCTTGCTCTGTCGCCAACGCAGTCTCGAGCTCGGCGATTCTCATCAGCAGTTCACCCTGGGCAACCATCATTTTCTCCATTTTTTCCTCGACCTCACACTGCCTACACTTCGCGTCAGCCTCTTCTCCACCCGCTTCTACGCTTGGGTCCACTTTCAAACCCACTCCACATCATGAACACTTTACAGTCTTTTTAACCATGCCTTTCTGACACCAATTGTCCCTATACTCAATAATTACTAAACTCGAGCCCTGCACTACGAGAAAAAAAAGAAAGTCTCAGCTCTACTACAAAAATTTGCGTGTTCAATGTACGCGCACCTCCCCCACGGGGTGGCAAAAGAAAAAAAAACAACAAAAAATTTTCAAACACACGCACCCGCACTAACTAATAAATACCTGGTGACTGGCCCCCGAAAAAGCCGTACCATAAAATAAGTGCTACGAATATTTCAACCGCTGCCTTATAATTATAAAGACAAGCTCAAAACATGCAAAAACACTTATCTGCGCAGTCGATCCGGAGCGCTCAAAAAACGCGTCCATCCGCCTCTACAGCCCGAACTGAACCTGAAGTGATGGATGAATGGATGGATGGATATGGCTGTTCCCTTTAGATCGGGCGGTGGCTAGCGCCACCAAGCCGTAATACTTAATGAACTCAAAACTATATTCATTTATTTTTTCCTTAAAAAGTGAGTTTGAGGATTCGTACTTTGCAGTGAAGAGTTTAATTTTCACTCGTGCCTTGACTTTAGCCACCAATCAGATAACCTCCTTCTAGTTAAGTCTACTTGTTTAAAGTCTATTTTGCCCTCCCGGTCCCTAAACCCCAGTGCTTTGAAAAACTCTGCGCCATCATCCTGAGCTATAGGCTGAAGCCCTTTACAGAACATTATCAAGTGTTCGGCAGTTTCTTCTTCCTCTCCACACGCACTGCATACTTTGTCTACCCCTTCGTATTTGGCCCGATATGTCTTGGTTCGCAGTACTCCCGTTCTGGCCTCAAACAGTAGAGAACTACCCCGAGTATTATCATAGATCCTTTCCTTGGCAATTTCCTGCTTAAACGTTCGATAGATCTCTAGTGCGGACTTCTTTATCATGCCCATTCTCCACATGTCAGTCTCCGTTTCCTTCACTTTCTTCTTAACCGATAGTTCTTTTTGGTTTGGCCACCTGCTGTTTTCTAAGTATTTACCAGTCAGCTTCCTGGTTCGCTTCCTCCATTTTGTATCGACATTCTTCATGTACAAGTAGCTGAAAACCTTCCTAGCCCAACGCTCTTCCCCTATTTCTCTCAATGGCTTCTCAAATTTTATCTTGCTGCTAGCTTCCCTGCCCTCAAATGAGGTCCATCCCATATCACCTTGTACTCCCTGATTTGGTGTATTCCCGTGAGCTCCTAAAGCAAGCCTACCTATTCCACGTTGCTTAATTTCTAATCTTGCTTGAACTTCTGATCTCATGCACAAGACCGCATTGCCGAACGTCAGCCCAGGAACCATGACCCCTTTCCATATTCCTCTCACAACATCATACCTATTGTAATTCCACAGTGCCCTATTTTTCATGACTGCTGCATTCCTGTTACCTTTGGTCGTCACGTATATTTCGTGTTCCCTCAGATACGCGATAGTGTCAGTCGCGAGCGCCACCGCGCGGAGCTCGTTTAAAACTGAAGGCAGGCCAACTCCGCCACAGAACACATACTGGGAGCGCGAGCCATTCCTCAGGCATCTATCTGGAGGAGGCGTTGGGTAGTGTAATGGTGTTCTGTGCCGAAACACTGCCAGTCTAGTAACGTGGGTCGTAGCAGTCACTACCTGGGGGTTCAACAATCGCAGCGCCAGATTTCTCTCTGCTCTCTGGTATTATCATAGTGTAGTTGTTGGTATTACACACACAGTATTACTACTGTGTGAAACTCTATGGCAGATGACAAGTGGGTGTTGTACCGGGATCGGCCCGAATGGAAAGACGTGACGCCTGTCTCCCAAGACGACGGTGAGCGTCCGGTGGTGCGCATCGCATACTCGGAGCAGTTCCTCGATATATTTGACTACTTCCGCGCCGTTTTGCGCTCCAACGAGCGCAGCGAGCGGGCACTGGAGCTGGTCACGGATGCCGCCTCGGTGAACCCGTCCAACTACACGGTGTGGCACTATCGCCGACTCCTGCTCAAGGATCTGGCTGTAGACCTGGCTTCCGAGCTTGGCTACATCCACGCTGTCATCGAGGAGAACCCCAAGAACTATCAGGTACTCGGAAATAACTAATTTGGTGTGATCGAGCGCAAAAACATGGCTCATATATATACCAAAAGCTGTGCACGCTAAATCTGCGACAGCTCTGACGGTACACCGCGACATACCGCCTTGTGTGCGCGATCATTCTTGGCATGACGTCAGCCGAATATGCAGGCCCAAGACGTTGATCAAGTTCGCTTTGGCGAGCACCATCTGAAGTAAAGTGGCGAAGGCTGGCGCTGTTGCTTCTTCACTTCATCGGCGAAAACGAGCGTGTCTCCCTCTGCTCTGGTCTGCGAAGAATGTCATAAATGGACCAGAACTTTCGCTTTTACCTCCCTCTGGCAACCGAATTGAGGTTCAGTACCACGTCTCCGGAGAGTGGTAAGGGCAATAGATGCTAGAGGCAAAAGCACGTAAACATGTGAAATTTTTTAAGCACTCAGATAGACAGTCGTGGTACGACAGTGCTGCCAAACACCTGGAACAATGTTAACATGAAGCTGAGTTTTCGTAACAAACATACAGAAACGGACTTTATGCTGGCAGCAGTCTTGTAAGTAATACTTTAGTGGCTCCGCACTTGACAAAGGCGGTTGCCAGACCAGGAGGTTGCATGAATGCATTGGTCGCACCTGCTTGTCCTAATCCTGAACATATGACTTTCCCATGGGTCCACAACAGACGCTGAATACAGAGACAAACCTCGGCTCATAGGCCTGGCTAACAGAATCGGCTGAGTTATGAAAACAACCTGTACAAAATGGCTAGGTAAGCTTGTGTCAGCAACGATGTCACATCTGGCCTATCACCATCTCATTGCAGAATTTAAAGCTGTACTTGCATGTTTGGCCACTCTGATGCCAGGCATTCTTTAAAATGTCAAGCGTTTCTTATATACTGAACGAGGCTTCTGATGAAAGTATGTGAACACTTTAGGCGATTTCAGTTACAACCTGAACCATTTCTGCTTTACTCGTCATGGTACAAGGGGCGTTTCTAGTCATTTGTTGTGTGTTAATAATATATTTTATGACGTATGTCTAAGATTTGCCGGACTCACTAATTTTGGTGACTAGCGTGAAGAAGCACTCAAGTTTTGCTACAAATATTTGATTTTGCATCCAGAATGTTTCTAGGAAAGGGAAGAACATTTCTGGCACCTTTTATAGTTAAAATGAGCCAAGAAACTAGGTCTGCAGAAAGATAGTCACCGGCAGAATAGTTTCCACTGGAGAGGAGAGACCACAGTTGCGAAGATAATGTTGAGCTGCTGCAGGACTGCACACTTACTTTGATAGCACAACACAATACCGTAAAATCTTTAGCAAGCGCCCGATAGTCTGAGGAGGTTTAAAGTGGGGGGGGGGGGGGGGGGGGCATGCTTATTTGTGGCTGAAAATTCAAGATGATGGCACAAGACCAGAGGATGCATACCTGTGTTTCTGATGAAATCCTTAATTGAACACAACAGTTTTTCCCTTGTTGGGCAAATACAAGCAGGGAATAAAACTGAAAATGGTGGGAGAGGTCACATATTTAAAATTTCCTGACATGCCCCGCCGCGGTGGTCTAGTGGCTATGGTACTCGGCTGCTGACCCGCAGGGCGCGGGTTCGAGTCCCGGCTGCGGCGGCTGCATTTCAGATGGAGGCGGAAATGTTGTAGGGCCGTGTGCTCAGATTTGGGTGCACGTTAAAGAACCCCAGGTGGTCTAAATTTCCGGAGCCCTCCACTACGGCGTCTCTCATTATCATATAGTGGTTTTGGGACGTTAAACCCCACATATCAATCAATCAAAATTTCCTGACAAAGAGAGAGAGGCACCTGCTTGGGATTTAATGGCAGGGCAGGACTGCTACTGAGAACTACGGCATTAGTTGCCAAGTTCAAATTTTACTTAGCACCAAGTTGGTGTCGCTGTAATTTTCTTATGCAACTGCTGTAGTGCTGATTTTCTCATCGTTCTGAATAATGCCCCTGTGACACGAGCAGCCGCAAACTCTGTTGAACTCCCTCGTCATTACACCAAGGGAGATGCAGTCACCCTTACTTCGCACTAATATATTCGGAAGCATGGTAAGCTGGGCCATTTAATTGCGGAAGAGCGCAACAAAGGGCAAGACACCAAGGATGCACAGACAAGTAGCAACTATTCCTAAGAACAAAGTCATATCAGGGGAATGCCTTTTTTTTTCTTGGTATCTTTAGACTTTTCCCTCTTTATTCTCAGGAATAAAGAATCATTTGATAGCAAGTGTTTTTTTGTGTCTCATCTTTGGTGTCCTTTCTTTCTGCTGCTCCGCCAAGGGGAAACATCCAGTTTTTACATATTTTCTAGATTCAATGCAAGCACTGCCCTGTCCAGCTTGAAAGCTTCCTTCACTGAGAGAGCCCTACACTTAAGCGTAACTGTCACTGTGCACATAGACATCAATAAAGGAAAACCCATATATATGCATCAGAACTACAAGAACTTTTCTATATTGCAATTTTTAGTAGTTGACACTTTAATCTGTACGTATCAAAGCTATTACAAATTCACTAAATTGTAAATAAAAGCAACAAGCATATGTAGTACACTGAAAAAAAAAAAGGAAATCACAGTTGCTCATAAATATTGCATAACTGATTCAGAGTCATTGAAGCTACCTCCGTACCATCTCTGGCAAGTTCATATAGTAGTGTAGGTAATGTGTATCTGAGCATTTGCTTTCCATAAGTCATGTGCCATTTTCAAACTGTCCATATCTCAGGATGGCATGTGTGGTATGCAGGGTCATTCTTTTTCACCAATATATCTAGAAAAAAAATTTTCTTTATTGTTTCCAACTTGTGTTGTCCAAGTAATCTGAAATTGTAAATGTTTTGTATGCTTGCAATTTTTAGCTTTTCGAACATGTCCTTTGAGTGACTTAAGTAAGGGCCGTATGCGTATTGCGCATTTTTAAAGTAAGAGAAGTTTTTAAATATTTTCTTGTGTTGTCCTCTCCCAGACCAGCGCGCCATAGGTCAGAGTAAAGGTTAATATAGCATTGTATAAAATATAGTTGGTTGAAAGAGAGAGGGTAAAGCAATGTCGGCGTCATGAGGCCAATTACCTTGGACAGCTTTTTCAGCCAGTAATTTATGGGATCATCTCAGGACAAGTTACTCAAGAAAAATACGCCTAGTGTTTTGAAAGTGTTCATAACTTCTACTTCAGAATTATTGAGCACTAATTAGGGGGCTGCACAGAATTTGTTTCACAAGTGAAACAAAACAGCCTCAGTTTTACTGATGTTTAGCTTTACATCATTGTTAGTAGCCCACAAATGAATGGAATGAAGTGCTTCATATGACCGGTCCGAAAGACATGCAACGCCCAAGCCAGTAAAAAAGAGACTGGTATCATCGGCATATAGTATATGTTTTGCCGTATGATCAAAGTTAACATGTCGTTAATATAAAGAACGACGACAAAAAGGACCAAGAATGCTCCCCTGTGGTACACTTACATTGAGTGGTTTAATTGCCTTGCCTTTTGAAGTCGTAGGAATCTACTTGTATGGCCCTCTTTCTGTAACGTCGAATGAGAATCGCTGGATTGTTACGGCTGTTCACCACCTTACCCGCTAGGCGTAAACAGCTTCTCTACAATCTGGGACTGCCCCTGAAGTCTTGGATTTCTTCCTCCCCTACATCTTTTTGTGCCATAGAGCCCCACATGATCTCCTGAATGATCGGGGTCTTTCTTTCTTCTGTTGTTAACCAACTTTTGTGCGCGCCCAACACTGTTCACATCTAGTTGCCAGCCATAGATCAACCGATTGACAGAACGCTTCAATCGGATGCTCTCAAACATGATTGCCACGTACATCCATGCCAACCACACAATGCAATCCTGCCTTCCATGACATTCGCTTATAATATGGATGCTCAATGCACTGCCCGCTTTTCTCCATTTTTTCTCATCCATGGTCGCCCGAGTTTTACTGTGGACGTCTCTCTTGTTTCGGCCCCTGCACACTCGACAGCTCCTTTCTGTGAACAGTCTTTATCTCATCTTGAATGCTGGCCCCTCTAAAAAAAACTCGAAAGTCTGGTCCTTGAGGTACCTGATGACCTGTTGTGAATTACACACATGGTAGGGGTCTTTAATTACTAGACTAGAGGGTTATTTCTGCAGGTAACCTCCCAAAGGCCTCTGCCTGGTTTCCCTTTCAGAGACGCAGAGGCATGCAGTGGTTGTTCTGGCTTGATAGTGAAAAAAAAAAATGGATAAAAGCTGTCTAGTTTAGTAATTGAATGTCCCTACCACATCTGTAATTCACAAGTGGTAGTCAGGTACCTCAAAGATCATAATCCTACTCTGTGTCCCTTATCAACGTTGTTTGTTTTTATTACTCTACTTCTCAGAGCACCTTGTTACAGTATGTTGAAGAATGTATAACTAAAGATAACCGGGAATAAGTCTTCGTGAATAAATGTGGCATCAGTGTCACTTGTTTCATGGAACTTTTTCTATTTGGATTCCACTTTTGTGTTGTGGGGTGGGTCTGTTTGTAGACAGTGCACGGGTGTGTGAATAGGTTCAAGGGTTGCCCCGGTTCTCGAAGGTTTTGTGCGAATCGCTTTGAGATATGTGGACGACTGTATAATTTTTCTTTCTGTAAAAAATAGGGAATCGAGCGTGCTATAGGTGCTTTCATAGCACATAGTGGTGCACTTGTAAAGTTCCCCAACACGAATTGTGTTTCTCGGATAATAATATCAGAATATTTCCAAATCACGTTTTCCAGAAATATCAACTATGAAGCTAAACGATGCTTCCAGCCACAAGAAACTGGTAAATATTGCTTCGTCGGCTATAAGTGCGAGCCTATCCAAGTTATGCCTGCATAAGGTGAATGACAGTGTAGACAGACGGGATCGCTTAAATGTGTCTTTTCTTGTAAAAAATTGCTTTAGAAAATAAAACAAAGGCAAGAGAAGCAAGAAAGAGGCTTTAGTTTCTTATTTTCATAATATATT